ATAGTCTTAAGTAACCTTATTCTTTAACTTTTAAAAAATATATATTTAAATTTTTATATTATTTAGATAATTTTTTTATTAAGCTATGAATAAATAAAGAATTCCAAAAAGTTTTGTAACACACTGAATATCAAGAATAATTATTTGCTATTGAACACTAGGGGAGCCGAAATATTAGTATCTCAATTGGCCTATCAAATAATTGCTAATAGCCCAAAGCCATATCGTAAAAATATTTCATTCTGAGTTTTGAAGCTTAATAAAATCCCCAAGATAGAGATTAATTTTCTCCGGACAAGGGTACAGTAGCTATATTCGAAGATGTATGCGTTGATCCGAAGAAAGTGCAAGAGAAAATTATTCATTATTTCGTCGAAGGGCGCTATTACAATATGCATTTCGATATACAGTATGTATCAGAGAGTTACTTTAACTGTCCAAAGATGATACTCAAAAATCCCCCACATTTAATGAGTCATACACACCAGATGAACTGGCGTAGTGTGATTAATATTAATGATAAGCATTTACGTATGTGGGCGTAAATTCATTGTTTTTGATTTAAGAGTACCCCCCCACAAGCATCCATGCAGGATACGTGTCGATTGGGATTATGCTTCTCACTAATGATCTCGTGAATGCATTATTTTTTTTCTGCTTCTTGCACTTGCATATTTAGATCCTCAATCTCGCGTTCTTCATGTCTCGCATGAATTCCTCAAAAGTTTTTTTTTTTTTTTTGTTATAGTAAGTAGGTGCTGACGAAATATTTTGGGTTGGTTCATGACTCGGCGATCATTTTCACAGGCGAATTATCATCAGTAACATAAATTATATAGCCGGTTATGCTGGTGATACATTACATTCTGACCAGCTTCAGGGGGGGGGGAATAATTATTATGGGTCATATCTTTACGTTTTCGGTTTAACGAGTTCTCATAATCTCTAATATATGGTGTGAATATGAATCAATTAGATTAGACGTTTCAGAAATTGGTTCTAATGGGACAGAATCTTTAGAGTGATTCAATAGAAGTCTGTGATACGCTCTCTCGACAAGACTTTCGGGAAGTTTATCAATGTTTTTATGGTCGAGATGGAACATGCTATTAGATATAGTTTTGCGCAAAAAAAAAAAAGTTGCGTGCAAGAAATACTACACCCATAGAATCAAAAGAACTTTGCGATTAATTTGTTTATTATTATGATAGTCAAAAAAAAAAAAAAAAAAAAAAAAAATTAGCACACTGATAAAATACAATATGAACATCTCAGATATTAGCAAAGAAAAAATTTTCGATTTCATTTAAAAGCCAGACGACAATTCTTTCGATATTAAGCAAGCTGACCTAAAAGTATTTTTTATTAATTAGACTCGGTGAATTTGGACTTGGAATTTTCTTGTTTTATTATTAAATGTTTAGTGATTGACAGAATTGTCGATTAAAATTGTCACGAAATTAATTGGAATTGATCGAAATTGATCGGAATACCGAAGTCTAAAAGTTTGCCATGCGTAGTACGTATTTACCCGTACAAGATGTTGAAGCTCTCTCTTCGGAATTTGCGAACCAAATTTAGAAATGTACAGGTGAAAACTTACCATAAGAATGATAATACAGTACAATTTACGAAACAAATGAAAACTTAACCTCTTTTTAACATAATGTAGTCAAGTCATTTTCTTCAAAATTTGCAAACCAAATTGAGTAAAAACCTACAGTCTATAAATTGACTAACTTTGAGGTCTACCTCTAAAATTGAAAATTTTTTTATTAATTCTCTTGCTTGTAAATAGATTTTTTTATAATTTTTATTAGTATCGGTTTTTTTATGTTACTCAAAAAAAAAAAAAAAAATCTTCGGATATAGGATCAATTTTATTAATGTGGTTTTCGATTGAATGTTTCCACGGATACCGAATCAATTATTGAAAGAGAGAGGAAAATCTTCAATCAAAACTCTTCTTTCTAAGTGCTCTTTTTTGATAGTGGAAATCTAGTCACTTGGACTTTATGTTACACCGAACTTCGGATGCGAATCTTCGGATGGTGTATTTGCAATTTAAATAAAGATTTGATTTACGATTCCGATCCCTAACAATTTATTATTATTATATGAAGTTAAAAGAAATTTCACAAGAAAACATATGATAAATGACCGCCTTACAGCAAATCCCTTAGTTATAAAATGAAATTCCACTTATCGTAGACGGAACTATGTAAATGGGATGAGTTACTGGGATGGGTTACTTTGATGAAACATCGATCATTTCAATGCGATCTACTTTCATTCTGGAATGAACCACCCATAGAACATATGAGCGTGAAAGATGATATAAAATACTTCCAAGATATCCTTAATCTCGATTGATTTAATGCGTTTACATTAATGATAATATAACGATGACTTTTTACGAGATCCTTTTCTTTTATATTATTTTTTGGACGGCGGTAGTCTCGCCCACGCCAATTTTGAACCGGAGGTATACACCAAAAACAAATATTTTTGATCTCACCATAGAAAAAGTTACTCTGTCTCCAGATGGATTTACTCGTCAATTATCAACCATCAATGGACAATATCCTGGACCAACACTCGAAGTTAACAAAGGAGATCGTATTGTGATGAGAGTTAATAATCAATTGGGAGAACCAACAGGTAACTTGCAACGAATATTTTCCAATGTTTTATTTGTCGTACGCGTTTCTAAGCGCATATTGCAAATCGAAATATTAGCCATTCATGCACATGGGATGCTTCAAAGAGGGACCCCTTGGTATGTTATTTTATTATTATTATTTTTTCTTTTATCGGAATTAATTTTTGCAAAGACCATGCTAATTTCACGATCGATTATATAGGTTCGACGGAGTACCATGGATGGTGAGTTTATGGAAAAAAATAATCATAATCATTTCAATCTTGACCAATCATCGATTAACACGTACACTATCAGGCTCAATGCGTCATACCTAACAATTTCGAATTCACCTACAATTTCACTGTCCCCGACCAAGTCGGCACTCATTGGTAGTAAGTATTTATGAGACCAAAAAAAAAAATCATTTTAACACCTATATACTCACCGTCTATCTATTAGTCATGCGCACGAAACCATGCAATATGTTGATGGAGCTTTTGGCGCGCTAAGTAAGTTATTTAATCATTTAATTTAAATCGACCTTTTTTTTAAATCTAATTCCTTTCTCTATTTAACTCAGTTATTCACGATCCTGATGATCCGTATAAATCGGAATACGATGAGGAAATTATTGTCATGTTGAATGATTATCATCACACCAATGCGCAAATCTTATTAAAACAATTCTTAACCCCCGAGAGTCAAGGAGTAGAGGTAAGTTTGTTGTTTTGAAGCTTAATTCGAAATTCTTAAATTCATATCAATTCATTCTCGTTATATTATAATAGCCAGGTAAGAAAGATTAATGTAAGTGCAAAGGTGTGGCCGCGTGATGCTAATTAGAACGATTCCTACGCCTACAGTTCCCGATAACGGTTTGATCAATGGAAAAGGTAATTTCGATTGCTCCAAGGCCCCGCCGGGTTCTAAATGTGTGGACAATGCCGGTCTTGCCAAATTTGAATTTGTCAAAGATAAAAAATATCGCCTTCGTATCATTAATACCAGGTAATCTACATCACCGCATTGTGCAATTCAAAAAAAAAAATCAAGTGACGAGCGCTTTTATTTTTCTAGCGCGTTTTCGGCATTCTTCTTTTCTATCGATAAGCATGAAATGGAAGTTATAGAAGTAGAGGGGCTCTATACTAAACGAACTAAAATCCATCGTCTTCCCATCAATGTCGCCCAAAGATATTCTGTTATTGTCACTGCAAACCAACCGACCGATAATTATATAATGCGTTCTGAATTTCAAAAGAAATGCATGCCAGATGCTGCATCTAGTCTTCCTATTATAAAAGCCATAGTGCATTATGAAGGAGCCCCCGATGATTCTGAACCAAACGATTATCCATGGTCAGATTCCTTGACAGAATGCGTAGATCTAGATCAAAAGACTTTACAGCCACTTGAAGTAGAAAAGATTCCCGAATCAACGAAGAAATTGAAACTCGATATTGCTTTTCATAAGAATGACACAGGCGTTGTCAAAGCCTTCCTTAATGGATCTACTTATATACCCGATATAAATTTTCCAACCTTAGATAAACTCTTTAAACATAGCCCAATTAACGAAACTAGTGCAAATGCCTATGTTTTTGACAAAGATGGAGAAGTAGTCGACATTTATTTCATCAGTAAGTAAAGTTATTTAATAATTGTATAAGAATCTTTAATTTTATTATTTTTATTAACGAATATATTTTTTAGATGCTGACGATGACGAACATCCATTCCACATTGTATGTAAAATTGATTAATCGGCATAAAGGATTTAAAAAATTAAAAAAAAATTTTTTTTTTTCTAAAAACTTAGCACGGATACCAATTTTGGGTACTTGGAACCGGGAATGGAGCCAAGGTTGATGAAAGTAGTTTTAATACACTTAATCCAATCAAGCGTGATACCGCAACAATTCCTGGCTTAGGGTAAAAAAAAAATTTATTTTTTTTTTTTCGCGTTTTCTTCCACCGGTGACATATAATGGGTGACAAATGGTCCCCATTAGTAAGACGAAAATCAACTAAACAGGCGAATGTAATTTTTTTTTTTAGGTGGATTGCCATCAGATTTGTTTCCGACAATCCCGGAATCTGGGGAATACACTGTCACATGATATGCTATCGTTTCATTCCGTTATATTGTTTTTTTTTGCTCCTTGAAAAATTCACTAACTTTTTTTCATCATCTTTTATTTGTTTTTTTTTTTTACGAGGTATGTAAAGATTTTTTGGTGAGGCATGAGAAAATGAACACGATTGTGATTTTAAAACTTCTTTATCTTTTTATAGTGGCATTTGGAATCCGGTCTTTTGATGCAGCTGATCACACTTCCAGATGAAATCTTAAAAATGAAACCACCGAAAGAATGGACCGAATTATGTGAACTAGGAGAACGTTAGATTTACAAACATAATATTTAGATTAATGATTAATAATTAATATTCCAAATAAATGTCACTATAATATTATTATAATATTTTATTATTTGTAATTATGGCGATTTATTTTCTCGTGTTGTGGATATCATTTTCCAGTTGTTGTCGAGTATTATTAAAACTATGAACATGCTTTCCTTGAATAAAAATCATTAAGGCACAAATTATGATTCTACCTACAATAGAGTCATATAACTAATATTGTTTATTATATGTTATGTGAACACGCCTATTTCTTTGATATAGAAAAGGACGTGATGAATTATGAAAAACATTAGAGAGTACAAAAGGCAAACAGCAGAGCTTGAAAAAAAACACACAAGGGTAATCGTTCTAACCACGATGAACGATAAAATATTGTGGCTCAGCAAAATTTTCCGAGATGATGTGAATATCACGATGACTCGAGTTCGATCATCTTATAACAATCGACGCAAAACCAGAGAACTAAAAAGTATCATCAACTGCAAAACCTCGAAAAGTATGAGCACACTTTACGATACAAAGCTATACTACGTGACCGTTATTAATAAACAAACTTGAGAACCTGATGGAATATTTGGTTACGAAAAACTTCTTGCCTTTCTTGGGGAGAATAATCACCTCGAATGCTTAAGCGAGGTCATAAAGCTTTGGAGTGATGGTAAAACAGACGATTTTAAAATTACCGAAATGAGCAATGAGGTGTTTCGTGTTAAAGCATATATCCATGAGGGAGTGATGAGGGTATAGATTTCACATTTGTAAAGAATGAAAGCGATCTCTTTATCTTTAAGGGACGAGAGAGAGAGGTTAACGGAAGGGGTTTAACGCAATCTCCAAAAGGTAGATTCACTCGCATCGATTACAATGGCACAAAAATACATTTTGATAGATATGTCATTGTCGGAGGAGCTGATGAAGATTTTGAAGCCGTAATAGCGAATACAGTATACTACAGTATCATGTTATCATTTTTTTTGTCGCACAAGGCGCATGCATGTGGCCCAGCAAAAAAAAAAAGGGCTTATTCTCAGGTGATAAACGGGATAGTCTACACTCGAATAGACTGTCCTTACCGTATAATATTGCCTTGAACCAATCTCCCAAATTGAAAGTCTGTCTTTAGACAATTCATGATTCACTCCTCTTTCTCATATCAAATTTACATTGCGAGTATTTTTTAGATCCTTTCTGGAAGATACATTGTGTTAAATGATATTAACTCAGGCGGAAGACGTTCTAGTAAATTAACATTAGAGTTAAAATGCCGAAAATCCAATCACGTGCGATCACCCGTCTGGCTCTGATAAAGCTTCGAGATAGCCACATTACTTAAGATAAGCTGCAAATCTAGATAGGATGTATTCTAGGAAATATAAAAAGGATGTAAAAATTCATAGAGAAAAAAGTAATAAATAAACAGTTGACATAAAGGTAAAAGGATTGGTTAAAGGGAGTTATGTCGCGAAAGACGCTCGACTAAATCTAGACGCCTCTTTCTGCCTTTGTTGTGTGTGTTTGTTATGCGGAATTACCGCAAGTTTAGCGACTAACTCAACGCGAACCAACACTATATGCGGTTTTTAAACGGGAGAAGATATTTCAATCGGAAAAAAATAGGATCAATATGCAGAACTTTATGTGATCACTACTCGGGTTGAATTCCTTCTAGGTTTCGACTTCTTACCGCTGAATTCTTTCTTCTTACACTTCTTAAAAAAACAATTAATACTGACCAACTAAAAAAATATTATAAATATTCAATCTGGAAATCAAACATTATAATATAGTTATAGGACATTATATACGTATATTACAAAAAAAAAATAAAAAAATAATTTTCTATAACTGCAGTATAAATAATCTTGATTATTTTTTTTTTTGCCCGACTAGATCATGGTTTATTAATCAAAAGAATACAAAAGTACATATTATTTAAGCAGCCTATTATATACTATGTATGTGATAGAATTGATTTTTAAAAACTTCAAAAGGTAGAATTATGGTAGAGTTACTATGTTTTTAATTAGTAATTGATAAGGTATAGTTACTATATATAGTAAGATTATCAATAGCAAGAAAATTCCTAAAGAAAAAAAAAAACCAACTAAAGCATATTTTTAAGTCTTTATATTTTTAAAATAAATTTTATAAAAAAATATACTATATAGCAAAAGAATCTTTATTAAGTATTTCTATTTTCTTAAAATTCTTATTTTTATGATTTTTATAAAATTTTGTTTATTTTAATTTAATCTAAAATTTTTGAATAATATAATAATATTTAGCAAATGTAATTGATTAATATAGTTTTTAAATATAAATAAACATTTACTGATTATACTTATATATTATTGATTATTAAAAAAAATTTTTTTAAAAAATATATATCAACTACACAAGCTCTTTAAAAAACAATTATAATATTGAAAGCTTAATAATAGATAAAATAAAAAATTATTTCTATTTTATATTAAATTATTTAAATAGTAAAAAGATTTTATTAAACAAAAATTAAGAGTTTTAAACTTATATTTTAATTAAATTAAGGTTTTAAATATTTTTTTTGTTCTAATTAAACAAACTCTTTTATAATATGATACTAATATCAATAATATAATCAATACTATATATATATTAGTAAAAAAATAAATTTTTCAAACCAAGGTTCTTAAATATTAAGATATTAAAAAATATTTCAATTAGATAAATATTTTTTGAAAAAAATTATAAAATAAATTAAAAATCTTTTAAAAAAAGGGTTTTTTCATTCTTTTTTAAAATTATTTTAACAATTTATTGTTTTTTGAAATAATCAATAACAAAAAACTATTAACAATAATTTTAATAGTTAAATATCAAGTATCAAACTATTGAAAAAAACATAATATTGTTTTTTAGTTTTATTTAATTTAAATTAACTTATATTTTTAAACATATAGTTTTTTAATTAATAATTATAAAGATAAATTAATTATTATATAAAAATTTATAACTTATTTGATATTTATTTAATATCATAATAAAAATATATTATAAAGATATAATTATAAATTAATATACTGTATATAATATAAATAATATATATATATAATTATATATAACTTGTGGATCTATAGTATAGTAGTAGTACTTCCAAGTCACAATTACAAGATCCATAGTTCAATATCATATAAGAATAATATGAAATATTTATGAAAAGGTAAAAATTGTTTATGATACAAAACACAATCAAGTCTAAGAAAATATTGATTATCTTCATTTTGATTTCATATAAATAAAAATTTTCACTTCTGGTTTTAAGCAGATTTTTCTTCCTATAAAAGGTATAATCAATATAGCTGAACATAAACAATTCCAGAAAAGGTACAAAATCAATAATTGCATCAAGTCTATCAATAATTATCCAAAAAAATATACTTCTCTTTTTACAAAACTAGCAAGTCAAGCCTAACAAGTTAGTTGAATGGAATCCAAAAGGATTAAAAATCCAAAAATATGAATATCTAGATTTCTAAGATAGGTAGTAGTAGAAATTTAATCTGATCAAATATTTTTAGATAACAAGCTATCTGGTAGATCCTTTAAAAGTAGAGTTCTAGGAATGTTTGTCAATGCAAATAATAGAAAAATATATAATCTTTGCAATTAAATTTGTAAATTACTTTATTAATGTTAATAAACAAGGCTAAGCTTTTATTCTACAAAATATATAATCATATATTATTTCAAGTTTAATTTATTATAAATATTAAAAATTTTTAAATTTAATCTTTAATCAATATTTTATTCTATAATAAATTTAAAATAAATATTCTTCTGGTTTATATATTATAATAAATAGATTACTATAACTATTTTTTTTTTTAACTTATAATTAGAATAACATTACTAGTTAAAAAATATTTATTCAGAATAATGCCACTTGTATAACATTCATCAAAAAAATAAATAATTTGACATATTAATGATATAAATAAATCATCAATCAATTTTTATCATATAATTTGACATATAATTTGACATATAATTTGACATAAATAAATCATCAATCTATTTTTACTATATAATTTGACATTTTTTTTTTATAAGTCCAACTGACAGGATGAATTTTTATTGAGGAATCAGTAGTACATTTTTTGGATTACATGAGAAATTTGTATAACCTTATTCTTAACTACTTATCCTAATCAAGTTCGCAAATTTTATCATACTATTAATACCATTTTCATCAGTTGCCCTGCTATGTCCAGAACTATAGTATTCTGAAAGGCCACTATGGACTTCTTATTGTTAACGATCAAGGAGCTATATTGTGTATTCCTTAGTATGGTCTTGTTTACCACTTGATGCTCATGGGTTCCATAGATGATTCCTGCCATATTTGGGTCCTTTATAGGCTAATCAAAACTTTGATGGTGCAAGTCTCTAGTCATGTTCTTGATATCCAGATAATTCAATAGTGTCACATAATTGGATGATATATAGCTCTCCATTGTCTTATTTTTAACTATTTTTGCAAGTTGACCTTACAGGGGTTTTTCTTAATTACTTTATAACAGATTGCTCCTTCTATTGAATTGGTTACCTTGGTGATTGTTTTCAAATTTCTTCTTTCAGGATCTGCCCCTGCAGGTTGCCCAACATGGCACTAATGCTAACCACCAGCCTCCACAATAGCTGTCCTCTTTGGTAGCTATTGATTTTGTGATAATAGAGATTTTCCATTAATTGTTGTTACGACCCATTACATTTTGACAGGTACAAACAACCAAAGTCCTCCTTATCTTCCATAGGGTATAATTCTGACAAGAGATGGATGTTCTTTCCATTTCCGTTAAGAGGTTTGAACTAATCAGCATTTTTCTTGGCTTGTCTTGAATCCTTTACATATTCCAGGTGGCAGGTTTATCAAAGATTTCCTTAACATTAAAATTGGTCAAGACTTAGATAACTTGAGTTTTATACCATAGTCGGATAGT